CTTCATTATTGCACACAATAAGACAGGAAGTGGTTCAACGCTGACAATTGAATTATTTAATCTTATCACAGCTTCCATCTTACCGTTAATGGAAGCCATTGCTTTGGCCATAAGTTATTTACTCAAGTAGAAAAGCAGCTGTGGTCATTGTAGTTGATGGACTCGGAGGTGGCGACATTTAGATGCTTGTTTATTCTCGGATAGAGTTACAGAAAATTTTACTTGAAGAAGCCTTTGCTGCATGTCGAAAACAACGATTCTCATCTTTGGTTCAGTGTATTAGTTCCGGCCAAAGGTTCAAAGATCAAACCAGGTCCATCGTCCGCAACTTCACACGGTTCAGTCTCTGCCACCATGCGGCAACTCCATGATCGCGTTCATCACTGTTGGGTCGACCCGCTTCGACGCTCTCATTGCTGCCATCTTCACCTCTCAAGTTCTCTCCACCTTCAAAAAAAAGGGTTATACTAAGCTCACCGTGCAATGCGGCCACTCAACCTTCAAATATGCAAATGAAATCAAGAACGGAGAAACCAAAGCACTTGACCAAGAAGGTATTGAAATCAAAATCTGGAAGTTCAAACCGTCGTTAGAGGAGGAATTTGAGAAAGCTGATCTTGTAGTTGGACATGCGGGTAATCCTTTCCCATCCCGTTCATTCGTCTACTCAACCCAAACCAAGGTTCTGGTACAATTCTAGACGTGCTCCGGAAAGGCAAGGCAATGATTGTGGTACCGAATCCAACCTTGTTGGATAATCATCAAGTGGAACTTGCAGAGAGGCTGGAAGAAATGGAGTATCTAATAGCTGCCACTGTAGAGTGTGTCCAAGTTCGTTCAGTCGTTTTCGCAGTTCAAGCTAATGACCGAACGTAGAACCTTGCCACAGGCGATAAAACGATTTGACACAAGGAAAACTAAACCCTTCCCTCCTTTTGACGGGTCGAGATTCGCAAAGATCGTGGACGAGGCTCTGGGATTTACATAGGCATCTCTTCCTTAAGCGCCCACTCTGTACTCGACGTAAGTTATGAACTTCATCGATGAGTCAACTACTGATACACTTTTCAGTTGTAGGTTCTGTTCTATGTAATGCAACAAACTATCCGATGTCGAACTATCTCCCAAAGTGAGGAATAAAACCTGCCCAGTCAACGTCTGCATAGACAGCCGGGTTGAGCTGTTTCAGTACTAGCAGAACGAATGCCTCCCCAAATAGAATAACTCGAGCAGATGGATAAAGCGCAAACAGCACCCAAAAAAGGACCATAAACCATACGGCATGGTAAGAAAGATATACCGTGTCGTATATCATAAAGTAGCAGACAGACGCAGCAAATATTAAAGGACAGACTGTGATAGTGATGGCTGACATTTGCCATAGAAGCCATGTACTATGATCGCGGAATGTAAAGCCCCAAGCAATCAAATGCACTCCTCCGAAGATGGACCCGATGATACCAAGGAGAATGTACATCGTATAGGCTTTTCTGCGACTCAGGCTGGTGTCGAATAATTGTAGCTTGTTTATCGAGGATCGCTCGGATTGGATACCTGTATGCAATCAGTGGTAAGCCTCACGACCGTCAAATGAAAAAGAAAAACTGACTAATTCGACTTTTTAGTCTTACAAGGAGACTACTATGTAGAAAGGTGCCATTATCGACAGTCGCCTCCGTTAATGACAATGTGGATTGGCGCGACGGACACGGCTTCAATCCGAGGTGCACCAAGATTGGCGTTTGTGCGTCTAGTGGTTTATTCCACCAAAAGAGGTACATTAAACCATTCAAGGACGCAAGGGCAACTGCTAACAGCTCCATTTCCGTCATGGGAAGATGTTGTATTCCACGGGCGACGCATTGTATGATGAACCAAGTGGATTGGAACACGGTGAGCGATTTGGAAATGAAGTCGCTCTTACTTTTATCTTCAATGTCATCAACGGTTACCGCCTCCACTATCCTGCGCAGTTCGGCTTTGCTGAGCTTATGAACTGTGGTGGAGGAGAGAACCTCTGTTTCTTTTCCGCATTTACAAATCTTCAAGCCTCCCATTATGAGAAAGAAACTGTGCGTCATCGTCCAACCTCCTGATTGATTAAACGAAATATTAAGCAAACTTTTCAATACTAAACTTCGTAGGAGACACACCTTGGAGTTCACGAGTTATCGTCCTTGCCTCAAACCACTGCCCCATCGCCCAAGAAAGTATGAATTCGGGCACTAAAAGTACGAGTAGCATGAATTTGAGGCGACGCATGGTTGCCGCCAACAAAGATTGCCGAGTGGTAGGCGTATCAAGGTGGACGGAGACCCATGCGCACAAGAAAAGTGTAGTAAGACAGCTCCACGCAATGGAACAGACGCTACGCTGATCTGATGGGCCGTTGTTCGCTCGTGTGAGATCAACTAGGGTAACATTTCGACTTTGAAGAGCTTGGGCATCCGTGTTTTGCTGATAAGAGATGGCGGTGAACGAAAGAATGGGAGACAAAGAAAGCATGAATACGACTGGCGGGACACCAAGGTATATAACGGCTATTTTCTTTTGGTGTTTTGTTGACTCAAAAAGACTTTTCGTCGAAATCAACTTCATGCTTTGTGAAGACTCCTCGATCCGATAACCTTAAATGAGGTAGGCGGTGCAATGCAGAGTGGTACAATCATTTGCTTCCATCTGTGTCAAAGTGTCCCTTATCGAAGGCGGTTTTACCTAGGGTTCCTATCCCTCCGCCGCTTTGGCAGAGATCACATCACCGTTGTCGATGAGCGCCGGATAGAAAAAACATCCAGCAGGGGGAAAGTGTTGAACGATTGCACCACACCCGCGCTCTCCATTCGCGCTCATAATTAGCTAACAATGCGCGGTGGCCAAGTAACACCCCATCACCTCTGCTCGGCGTTAATTATTTGTGAACCGAGGTCCCAAGATTAGCGAAACTGCCTGTTATATCCTCCGATATTTAGGTTCCATTATGATTGAGCCCAAAATAAGAATGGGCTCGCAGTCTGCAGCCGCCGAGAAATCAAAGCGACGTAATTCAAATCAATGAAACCGATTCTTGAAACTTAAGACGTAGCAATACTGTAGCAACACCTCGTGAAGGAACGAAGAAGAGGACGTGTCGAGCTTACTTGCCGTGCATCAAATTTCCTTGGACCATCGCGCCAATATTTGGGTGCGATGAATACGCAAGCTCCACGAGGAACACATCTAAACGCCGCATTCTGTATGTCCGATAACAATCGAAGCCACCAGCTTTTGACGCCGTTCGACCTTGTCACATATCTGCTCATAATTACCAGCATGTACTTAAATAACTACACTTATCATTGTCTACGAAATATGAGGAACAAGACAAGTCCATTCTATCTCTGCCTAGGCACTTGGGCTAAGATACTGAAGGATCCATATGGCCTCAGCCACCAACACAAATCGAGCTACGATATAAACAGATGCCACAACGTTCAAAGAGGTTTCAAGTGAGTATTTTAGCCTTCACTTCCGCAGGGTTTTTATATGCATATTAGTATGAAAAAGCAAGTACACAATGAGCCCACGGACAGGAGGGACGAAGGTGGTGATCAGAGCTGAAATTTGCCATATGAGCCGTGCACCGTGTGTGGGGAAATGAAAACTCCAAGCGATTAAATGAAGACCACAAAATGCAGACCCGACGAGTGAGATCAAGGTCGTGACGCTACAAATTTCGTCGAGAGCGGAGTGTGGTTGATGAAATGAGATTGTCGTTCCGTCGTTGAAAAAATCGTCGATCGATATGATGAGGGTGGAGAGATCTCCTGAGTGAAAGAGTTGCCGAGAAGACACGCGGGGGAAGCGAGAGAATGAATACATGAGTCGATCAGGAATACTCAATATGCAGAGTCTTGTGTATTCTAAAATGCCCCAAAAATTCTGTTAGCCAATGCGTATAACACCAACAATAACTTAATCACCAAAGTTGTAATATGTTTACCAAGGTATGCTTCCTCGTTCGAATCCGACGTACATAAATTGTGCGCCGGGCAGGACAATCTCACCATGTGTAGAAGAATAGTTCTTTGCACGTTAACAGGTTTGTACCACCGAAAGAGGTACATCAGGCCATTCAACGCTGCCAGCGCAACAGTCAAAAGCTCGAACTCAGTCAAGGCCAAATCTTGAATACGACGGGTAGTACTTTGTGCAATAAAAACTGACGTCTGTAAGTTAGCCAGTGCTTTGAATATGAAGTCGCCCTTCAATAGTGACGATTTGTGCCAACTTCTGTCGCTCAAATTTGTCCATTGTGAGGAGATCTTGATACGTCAAGAATTCCGTTTGTCCCACAGCCTTGCAGAGTCAACGAAGAAGCCGTGCGTATTTGTCCAGCCCCTTTGTATGCCAAGAAAATTCTATTCAGCATGCCAAAGAAACAACTTGACTTGAGCTTACCTTTAAATTCGGAAGTTATTTTCCTTGAGTGAAGTCACTGGAACATTGCTTGACTAAGAATCATTTCTGGTATGACGAGCGCACAGAACATCATCTTCATACGCTTGAGAGCCTTGGCTGAGTGGGATTTTCAGGACAGAGGGACGAGGGGAAGGACTGAGCCCCGGGTACAAAGAAACATGACAGAGAGGCAGGTCCAGACGATTGCGTCTACACTGCGCTGGTTGAGCAAGTTGTTGTTTGTCTGCGTTGGGTCTTCTGAGAGCGTGCTCTTTGCTATTGAGATATCTGGGTTCGTGACCCCTGTGTGTGTCGAAGTAGGCAGTATGAAAATCAGCAAAAGTCAACAAATCACGATAAATGCCACGGGGAATGGGGGTTTGAAACGATGTCGTGCAAGGAACTGCTCGCTCTCATGAGGGCTCGTTCACGCCTCATGATCGTTGCCAGTCCGGGCGGAAGGATGTAACGTGTAAAAGACAAGTATGGGTTGTAATTTATGAATGTGTTGTGGTAGTCAGACGAGATCTTCACGAGTCAAAGCGTCGAAAATAAAAACCACTGGGCCCAACCGGGAATTGAACCCGGGACCACTCACATTCAAACTCCGGGTGACGGAGCGGGGATTAACCCGAAGCGAGTATCATACTACTAGACCATTGGGCCGTGCTGGACAAGCGAGTGTTTGACCTATGTAACGGTTATACTCTCTTTTGTAAGTCTTTTGATTGACCTGTGAAAGATTTTGCTAGTTGAATCATGGCCATCAGGAAGAAAACTTCGACCACGAAACTACCCCAAAGTTTAGTAGAGCAATTGGAAGAGACAAGCAGTGTGTTTGTGTTTCAATTTATAATCTTCAATGGATACGTGGCTAATCGGCTTTACTTGTAGGTAGACATGTGCAGAAGCGCTCGCATCCTCGCCTTTCTCGATCTGGTTCACGCAAAGATGCGCGAAAACAGGAACGAGTAATGCGCAAGCAAAGAAAAGCCGACTTTTTCTCTCAAAACCAGTCTGGAAGTCGTACCAGTGGCGACAGCTTGAAGAGAAGTGCCGAAAGCGACAATGATGAAGTACCTCAAAGAAAAAGAGTAAAGCCAGGAGATTCAAAAACGAGCTTGACCTCGCAGCAAAAAGGAAAAAGCAAATCGAATTCCAAGCCAAGCATTTCGTCTCCTTCACACAAAGCCCCGAAAGAGTCGACAAAGGACAAGAAATCTAAGACCAGCCTTGAGAAGCTCTCCAGGACGGGCTCAATCTCCACACTTCGGTCACGGGTAGAAGAGGAGGAGGACAAATATATTGCCTACTTAGAGTCGCAGCTTGGTTCGAAGGCGACAGGGAAGAGTAAGGCAACAGAGGAAGATGGACTAGATGGTCAGTTTATATTCATTTCCGACTTTAACGAGTGACTAAAGAATCTCCTGCTAGACCTCCTTACTTATGCTGATACAATTTTTGGCTCTGCTCAAGTGAGTTCTCTTCTTACTCTAGTAGATGGGCACCAACCATTCTCCTTGCATAGATACCTTGGCTGCACGCGGAGAACGACGAAAATACTTCGCCTGCTGAAGATAATAACTCGTTTTCAAGCGAGTATGAAGACGAAGAATGGGATGGTATTCCAGATGGCGATACCGAGGATCACTCTTTACCCATCGATATCTCGACCAATACACCTGCTCTCGAAACAAAGACGCTGGACTCGCCTGCTGGTCGTTATGTGCCCCCTCACCTTCGCAATGTATCCAAAGCCAATAGCAATCCTTCTGAGGAACAGCAGAAGTTGCTTAGACACCTGAAAGGATTATTAAATCGGTACTAATCGATGGTTAAAAGTCAAGCTTTCTACTTACCTTATATCAGGATGAGCGAACAGAATATCTCCAGTATTATTGGCAGCATCGAGGAACTTTACAGAGATCATCGGAGAAATGGTACCATCTTCCCATCCTCGAATCACATTGAACTTTCAGCTCATCCTCTCTCAGATGTCACATCGATGCTCACGACACTAATTATTGACAGTATCTCGAACCACTCTTCGCTTCTTGATTCTTTTGTGGTGGTCTACGCGGCCTTCGTCTCGAGCCTACACAAGATTGTTGGCGTCGATTTTGCCGCTCATTTTGTCCAAAACACGGTCGCATCATACGAACGACACTTCGATTCATTCCAAAACAATGTTGAGAAGGCAGCATATCCACCCTCGGAAGAGCCCGACAACCAGCAAGAGGGGAAAGAGTGCTCAAATCTACTTGTGCTTATTTCAGAGCTTTACAATTTCCAGGTGATATCATCGCCCCTGTTGTTTGATGTTGTTCGAGCGCTCTTGAATGGAAACTTATATGAATTCAAAGTCGAGCTGCTTTTAAAACTTTTGCGTAGTGAGTAGCCGGATGACTGGTCTGTACAATTATGTTGCTGATGATAACAGATTCCGGCCAGCAGCTAAGGCAAGACGACCCCTCGGCGTTGAAAGACATCATCACCATCGTTCAAGAAAAAGTCTCTCAACAAAAAGGACCCCTTAGGTTGGTCGACTTTCGGAAATAAATGAAGCTATGTCGCTGACAGAGACGCAAGCTCGCGAACGTCGTTCATGATAGAAACATTGACCAATCTCAAAAATAACAAGCTGAAGCGGAATACTACGCAGAACCAAGGTGGCGTGGCAGTTGAGAGGATGAAGAAATTTCTAGGCAATCTCAGCAAGACTCGCCATGGTACGTTCTCCCTCAGCCTGATCTACCTGCCAACTGACGTCAACTTCCTCAGTCCTCGCCCACGAGCCTCTCAGGGTTTCACTTGCTGACCTCCACTCGGCTGACACCAAAGGAAAATGGTGGCTTGTCGGCGCTGCTTGGGAAGGCAATCCCTTAGTCGATAAGCATACAGAATTTACGAAATCGGAGTTGAAAGCCAAAGAAACCCACGAAGAGCCAGACAACTTCCTGAAGCTTGCCAAAGCGCAGGGGATGAACACTGAAGTTCGGAGAGGTATCTTTATTGTCTTGATGAGCAGCGACGTATGTCTTCACTGTGCGTGCAGTAATCCGCGTACTAACGAATGCTGGAACTTAGGATTATGTTGACGCATGTGAACGGCTATCCCAGCTCAGCTTGAACGACGTCCAGCAACGCGAAATCATCCGCGTTCTTCTACACTGCTGCGGAAACGTGAGTGACGCGGTTCCCATGTGGCGTATAACGTGCTGACTTCAGGTAGGAACGAGCGTATAACCCCTATTATACCCTTGTCGCCCAAAATCTCTGCAGAACCTCACACGGGCATAAGATTACGCTGCAATACTGCATCTGGGACTTCCTGAGAGATTTGGGTGAAGTTAACGTTGGTGGTGCCGCCGTTATCAAAAATGCAGATGAAGAAGGGTTCGACCTGAAGTCGATCTCGGAAGCTCGTTCAACCAATGTCGCAAAAGCCTACGCTTGGTGGATTGCCAAGGACTCGGTTAGTTTGTTGATCCTTAAGGTAAATCCCCGTTATACGGTACGATGATAAGACGGAAACGCTAAAATTTCTGAAATAGCCGGTGGACTTCACGTCGCTCAAACCTCGGACTGTGGGTTTCCTCAAAGAACTCTTGAAGCAGTTGTTCATCAACAGTCAGCTATCGACACCTCTCGCTATTTCCGATATCAGCAAAATTACCTTCACTCGTAATCGTAATGCGATGGAAGAGATATTCATAAAGGCATCTCGGGTGCAGACTTTTGCCATGGGGCTTGTCTATTTTCTGTCTGAAGCATTTAAGGCTGACTTCGAAACGGATGCTGCAGCTTCGAAGTTCTTCCGATGGTGTGTCGAGGTCGCAAAAGAGACCTTGAGAATTGGTATTGATCTTGTACCTACTCTATAAATTCATGCGGACGTTCTACGGAATGCTACGCTTGCATAGGCACTGCCGCTCTTTCCCCCGAATGTATAGGCAGGATGTTTTATTCGTGATCTGGAGAAAATCAGGGGTTTAAAACTTGCGGAATAGTGAGAAAAAGCTGCTAGATGGCGTACAGGTAATCCAGGCGGTCGGAAGTGAAGATTTCTTTCAGCTCCTCTTCGGTGAAATTGCATGCTACGATTTTTTCGAAGTTTTAGCTGGGCCTCATTTTTATAGAATTTCGCTTACAAGTGATCAAGAAGATTCCTCCAGTTTTTAGCAATCGAGCAACCTGGGCTGGGTAGTATGAAATCAAGGAGCGTCCTTTTTCGTCCTTTTGTGCCAGAGCAATGGCATCGAGTGTCCCTTTGTCCAAAAGCAAATCCCAACTAGCGGCACTGTCATTTGGGTGTAGCGAATCATCCTTCAGAAAGTCGCGGCGAGTATAGGTGATTCCCGATCCTTTTCGAGCCGCCGCAACTGCTCTTGCCAAGTTCACGGCGCCTTCGCTGTAGTCAATTCCATGCAGGGTCTCCGCCGAGTAGCCTGCTTCCAAAAGCCCGAGAATAAGGGTTCCATTCCCGCAACCTACCTCGAGAATCTTCTGGCTGGGGGCTGGAGGGATATTTTTGATACACCAGTCAACCATCTTCTCTACCGTCTCTTCGCCAAACCTAAGGAATTAAGACGCATGCTTAAATTTATTAGGAAGAACTTACCACACTTCGCCTTCCTCGCCAAGGTCTTCAAAACTTTTCAGCTCTTGGTCGTACACATCATCCCAACTTCAAGATGTGGCTAAGTTGATCACAAGGACGAATGGATTTTGACACTGAACGTACTGCTCCTTGGTGCCTAGCTTTGTTGGATTTAACTCAAGGACGGTCATCTAGACGCTCTGCTAGTTTACGAAAAGTGCAGAGCCAAGATCCCGATAAGGGTGTGAAATTCAGCTAATTTTAGATACCATTCCCGAAGACTCATTTGTATTTCCACAATAAGAAGATAGCAAACGGCGAGATAATTAACAAGAGAAAGGGTCATGTAGACTCCACCATTCAGAATGGTAAACCGTAGTACATCTTCTAACATTTCTGCCACTGGAAGCTATATGTCTGCGTGAGCGATGTATCGATCTAAAGAGACATTCAGAGCATGGAAGATATATAAAATATCTAGCACTTACAGAGTCCGTCGCCACATATCCAGTTCCTTTAGGGTTTTGTCTATTGCTAGCGCGCACGTCGCTATTGATGTTTAGAAGGGTATTTATGCCGCAGGGGCTTTGCACAGTTGACACGAGGTCGAAAGAATCTCGGTATGTATATTCCTCCCCTTAATGAAGAACTTGAGCGTAAATCTACATAAAAGTAACGTAACATACCATCCACTGGCCCGACAAGATCAGAGTGGGCAGTTGCTAGCAAAAATGAGCCTTGTTGTCAATTCAAAATAATGAAACCATACCTTGAGCAAGCTGAGATTGGACTAATTGGCGCCGTTAGCTTTCTCTTTTGAAATGCAGGGAATATTCCTTACAGTAATAAATCGACTGCTGAGTCGCAGTTACACCTTTATCAAGCTGATAGTAGCCGCGCTAAATTATAAGTTCGTCAACGAGCTATTTGCAGACTAATTTATGTCAAGCACATACGTAGTCGATAGTTGCGATCCCAAAAGAGAATCCTCCGGGAACTCTGCCAGAAAGTTGACTTTCATGAATCCGAGCCGCTTTTAAATGACTTACTGGACTCCGATAGTCAG